AAACAGTTTTGGTTTGGGGTGTGTGTGGGTGGTGTGGGTTTTTTTCTTTTTTCCACGTGTTCCCTCACGTGTCAGACATAATGGCAGCCTTGCATCAAACTCTATAGCTGCGGCGTAAAAGACAGAGGGAACTGCAACGTCTCCTGGGCCTGCTTTGTGCTGGAGAAATTGGCTGTGATTAACATTGGTCCTCTTCGCTGAGCTGCACCACATTCCTCGCCTAACCACAGCTCCCTCTGTGCTCTTTGGCGCACGTCTGTCTGTGTGTCTCCTGCCTTTCCCTTCTCCCTCCACGAGCCCTTTCTGGATCAGCCCTGGTCGCCTTGGCCATGGTAGGGTGCTCGTGACAAGGGGCATTGGTGTGGCTGCGCAGTCACGCAGCGTGGCGGTGACAGCGTGGTTTAAACCGGTGCCAGCGTGTGGCAGACGGTGGCAGCTGTGGGAACCAGGCTGGCCCACCATTAAAACACAGCGCTGCACGCTTGGCTCTTACCAGGGAGGTTTCTTTTCCAGCCGTTTGCTCGAGCTTTCCTTTGAGACATCCTCTCCAGCCACAAATCAGTAGGCAGTGCATTTCTGTGGGATGCAGACATGCAAGCAAGAGATGTCTGCTCAGGCTCTGCTGCCTGGAATGGGGCCGCTGCTGCAAGGGTTTGCAGGGTACCTCAGGGAGAGCTTTTCCAAATTATCCCAGCCTCCATCTATCTGCTCTGGGAACTGCGGGATTGATAATTGGGAGATGTTGAAGCTGAATGGAGTGGGTAGCGTAGTGATGGGATAGACCCACAGTTCTGCTAGCTGCAAGTCAATGTGGCTTGTGGGGTGTGTGCCCCGTCTGGGCTCCGCTGGGGGGGATGCAGAGAAGTGGTGTTAAGTAATGGAGCATAGGTATAAGTGAAGCCTTACAGGGACTGCCTCTGAAAGGCGTGCGGAAGGCTGGGTTCGTTTTTTCAGCTTGCTGATGCATCTGCTGACAGATATGCGATTGCACAAGTGATGCTCTGCTGCTCCACCAGGTGAGCGGGTTTAGTTTTCCATCCGCGAGGTGAGAAAGAAAAGCCTCGAGAGCCGGGGAAGCAGGGCAGAAGCGCGAGGGCCAGAACGGACTGGGTCGCTATTCAGGTAACTTAGCAGCGCCGTTTCAGATAAGATACTCTAAATGTTGTGCGTTGCATTGAGCACAAGTTTGAATTTGCTGTTCCAAATCCTAAAGCTTATTCCTTATCTCTTAACTTTCGGGTTCTATGGTTCCCGCTTCCAGATGATGATGGCAACTTTATGGTCTTTGCATTTGTCCATAGGCCACTTGTGAGCTGTCTGGACCTAATCGGCTCATGGCTTTGTAGCAATAATAATAACAACAATAATAATCTGTTGTCTCTGTTGCTATCTGAAGTGCTGTATACATGCTTCTACAATCATACAGGTCAAAGAGGTTGAGACAGACAACCTGTCCCCAGATTTGCTGTATTTCAGATCCACATTATGGCGAACTACTGGGCTTAGTCGCCTGTCTGATGAACGTCTCTTTCTTTTCAAAGGATGGATCTGCTTTTAAGTAAAAGTTTTTTTTCTCTTTGCAAAAACTGGGAAGTGCCCCGTCAGAACTCTTGAAATCGGACCGCTTCCAGGCCTGACGTTCAGAAACTCATCCCTATGGGTGGTAAATATAAAGAGGTAAGCTCTTTCAAGTGTCCTGGAGGAAGAGTGCAAGAACAAACCATAGCTGAGTACTTGAAGCTGCTGCTGAACGTGCCGGATTTGTCAAGCCCCAGGGTGCAGGGCTGGCTTGGCTGACACCAGAGGCTGCATACGGTCCCCTAGTTTACTAGAATTGTCTCCTTATATGAAATATGCTGCTTTGCCTGGGTAGTGAGCGAGGAGGAAAGCAGAATGCCCTGTGTCAAGAGCACTTATTTTGAAAAGCTCTTGAACTTGCAGTAAATCAGAAGGTCTGGGAAACTTAGCCAGCCTTTTAATTAGTTGGATGCCGGCTTTTTAGGGTATATTGCTTTGGCTGCAAGCGCTGTTCTGACTGTCTTGCAGTAGGGAGGTAGTAATGTGTTTGGGCGTTGGGGTTTTTTGTAGGGGCGGTTGGGAAAGCAAATTGTGGTGTGGCAAATCAGAAGCAGAACTAATTATGCATGTGTATTTCATTACACCCCTGGGCTGGCTTATTCCTAATCCTGAGAGTCTGCTCATCCTCCTTGACGTAGGAGGCCATGTACACATAGGACCTGTTGACGCATTAAAAGTGAACCTTAAAGGTAATATCAGGAAGCACTTCTAGAGATAATATTAATATAACTAATACTGCACTGCAGGCCAGGCAGTCATCTGTTAGAAATGGGTCACTGAAGCTAAACAAATTCACGCCGTCTGAGGCTCTGACCCATATGTAGATTTCAAACCGAGTGAACAAATTGCGAGGGTGCTATTTTTGCCTTTACTTTGAATTCGAAACGATGACACAGTCTCAGTTCTTAGTCAGTCAGACTTCTAGCAGCAGTGGATTTTTCTTAAAGGGCTTAGGAGAATGGCTCAAGGTTGAAAACTGGGAAAAACAAGGGTTTTTTTTCTTCTGTCAAATAGCATCTGCAGCCTTAAACAAATCATCTATTTGTTTGTTATTTTTAAAACTAGCCTGGAAATGAAAGACAGCTGCCTGCTTCTGTTTTCCTGCTTGAATGTATTTTCCAGCCTAGACCCATGAGATTGGCAAAATTTCCATTTGGATCCAAGAGAAGTTGCTGTTTGGGAAGAGTGGCTGCTGGTGGGAGCAAGGCTCCTCGCTCCCATCGAGCCTATAGCTGCAGCCCTGGAGGCAGCTGGCAGTAGTATGACCTTCTTTTTCTATAGTAGCTAATGTCAGAGGGCTCTATAGCTTCCTCGCCCAGCAGAGAGGGACAGAGATGCTGCAACTTCTTGTGGCGCCTACAGTGTTGAGTTTTCGCTGGTGATAGATAGCCCTAGTCACTGCACGTGGTGACTGTGTTTACTTGTGTTCTGCTCACTAAATCAACTTGCCCTAAGATTTATTCTGACTTGCTGAACCATCCGAGCAGCTTTCAACTGCTGCCTTTTTTTTTTTTTTTTTTAATGGAAAAGAAAAAACCTGACTTGGTTAACTCCTTCCTTCCCCTCCCACCTTTCTCTAAGTGTGGAATTTCCCTCCCGTGGTGACACGTAGCTAAAGGGCAGGACTGGCAGCATTCAGAGCGGTACATCAGAGCGGTACCAGGGATGTTAGCGGCTTGTGGACTGCAAAGCAGAGTACTAGAAACTGGAGAAGCTTCCCAAGCTGCTCTTGGAAAAGGTGTTCATGGCTCCATGTATGGAGACCTGCCTGACAACTACGTTATAGGTATTACTGTTAAGTATTGAGAGATGTTAGGAGAGGAAAGATGACTGTAGGCAAGGCATTGCCGGGCAGTTGCCTCCTTTCCAAAACTACCGTGCCTGTGTGAGGGAAAGACATTTGGCCCTGCCACTCCATGTCCTCTCCCCAGGCACAGAGTGGGCTCCGTCCAGCTGCATGAGCACCGAAAGGAGCGCGAGGCTTTTGAATAGCCAGCGAAGGGTGTGAGATGAGGGGAACCTTGCAAGGAGCTAAGCCTAACCTAAACCTCTCCCTCCAGAGCAAGCCCTCCGCAGGTCCTTGCGTGTTCCCTGGGGGGCTGCCTGCCCGCTATGAGCCCCGATGCTCCCGGGAGTCTGCGGTGGGGGGGACTGCCGGAGATGGAGGAGTGCGTCTCTTCCTCCGCTGCAGGCTGCGTGTCAGCAGTCTGTTCTGCTGCGAGCACGGCTGCGCTGTCAGCGAGTGTGACTGGGTTAATGGAGTATGTCAAGGGACCGAGGGCAGGGTTTGGCGGTGAGCTACTGACTTGTCAGGCCTGGGGAAGTGGTATGTAACAGCTCAGCTTCTCACACCGAATGAGCCTCTGGCTTGGGGCTGTGGTTTTTATGTTTATGCATATATATATCTATATACACACACACACATGCAGAATATGTATTTTTTTATATAATTGAAATGACGTGGATGGCTGATGGCAACACTGAGTTCAGGAATTTGCATTTCTGAAAACAGACAGCCTGGTGATAACACGAGGTGCAGGAGATGAGCAGGGTCATGACATAAGGGAGGGCACTTTGAACACAGCACATGAGTGCAGGACAGTGACAGGGAGAGGCAGCATCGTCTGCTGGCTGGGGGAGGTGTCCCTCTGGCAGAAACAGAAGTTAAGGGGCTGGAAGGGCCTGAGCTGAATCATTCCTGGGACGTCAGCAGTGTCTGGTATCAGCATTAAGTGGTCTCTCATTCGTGGCAATCCCAGCCCTGAAGTTGATGGTTTAACATTTCTTGAAGGGGTCTTGATCCAAGACATTTGCTTTCTTCTGACACAGTGAAACAGGCATGTCCTGGGATGAGGGAGTGGTTCATGGGGTTTGGTGGGAAAGGCTCATTCCCATCTTCTGCTTCTTCTAAGTCCTGTTGTCTGTCCTTTTGTCAGAGAAGAGGTTGGAGAGGTGTGAGGAAACCTTCCCTCCTTTTACTGAATGACAAAGTGAACGATACTTTCCTGCTTTGGGAAATTTTTCCATTCTGATTTGGGGTGTTATTTCCCCTTGCCAGTCTCAAGGCCACTCTGAAAAGCCCCTAAACATCCAACAGAGGGAAATCTCGAAATACCGAGATCTGCTAGGTTCGAACCAGCCTGCTGAAGGGTGTGCTGGGGAGCCCCTAGCTGTGGATCACGGAAACCCAGTGGACGCAGAGCTCTGTAAGGTGCTACCTTGCGCTGGTGGGGACCCAGCTGGAGCGCTTCCTGCATGTATTTCCTTGGTTGTCCCTACAGCTGTGGGTTAGGGACATACAGTAACTCCCCGGTACTCTCTTTGGTACTCTTGCTGCTGTCTTCTCCCTGTGAAGTGTCTTCACTTGCCCAGTTAGAAGAAGGTATTGGGTTTGCCTTTCTCTCTCTCTGTCCTGCAGGCTGGATGCAAAGGAGGAAGCATGGTAAAGGCAGCATCTTTCCAGGATCCATGGGCTCTTTGAGAGATGATCAGAGGGAGGCCAGATGATCTGCACAACACGCACGCCACTGTTTCTCATCCGCAAAGGCAGCATCGGAGCGTTCTCCCCAGCCCCGTGCCCCCCGGCTTGCCCGATCGTTTCCGGATGTTTCGCAGCTGCGAGTGGGAGGTCCTGGAGCGATCCCTCAATATCCTCCAGGCCAGCGACTTCTACTGGGGCCCCTTGTCCGTGGGGGAGGCTCACGCCAAGCTCCAGCGGGAGCCCGTCGGCACCTACTTGGTGCGGGACAGCTCGCAGGGGAACTGCTTGTTCAGCCTGAGCGTGCGGATGCCCACGGGGCCTGTCAGCCTTCGGATCTCTTTCCAGGAGGGCTATTTCCGCCTGAAGAACTGGTTTTCAGACTGCGTGGTCCGGCTGCTGGAGCTGGTGGTGGCGGGGACCCGGAACAACCCCTTGCACTTTGATGAGATGGGGGGAACCCCCCTGGTCTTCTCCAAGCCCCTGTGCCGGAGCCGCCAGGCAGTGCCCACGCTGTGAGAACTGTGCTGCCGGAGCCTGCCCGCTGGCAGTGCGACAGGGGACGGAGCAGGGCTGGGGGGCTCCTCAGGGGTGCGCCCAAGGGAGGAGGTGGCCTCACCCCCGGGCGGAAGGGAAGGGTCGGAGGGGAGCATCGTCCCCAGCCCCTCTCCGTCTTGGGCTGGGAGATGATGCCGTGCGCGTGGGAGACTAAGGGAGGTGCCTCTTACGTGGCTGTGCTGGTGGGACGCACGCCACGCCGGTGGGGCTGGACTGGCTGCTGGGAGAGGAAGGGGAGGGCAGGGGGAGCAGGGCTTGAACCTGCTGGCTGTGACAGTTGTGTCCTTGTACGTGCACAGCGTGTGTGGCCTTCCCCAGAGATGTCTGGGGTAAAGCCAGCCTGAAGAGCAGAGATTTCCCCCCCCGCCAAGTTCCTGCTCTTGACTCCATTTATAACTTACAAGCTTCAGAAGAAGGTGAGCTGCCTGTCCTCCCAGGTCAGCCCTGTGTTTTCCTCTATCCCAAAGTGCCTATGTTCGTTTCTGCTGCAAATCCGCCCTCGTGAAGTGGTACGGCTGAGTCCAGTCCCACAGCAGGGCAGCTTGGGCATTGGTGGGCACGACTCCTGTGCCGACCAGATACCCACGTAGCCGCGGCGGAGCAAGAGCACGTTTCGCTCCTTGCAGCACGAATGCGATGCCTGCCGCTTCAGAAGCCAACATTTGCGCTAAGGGGAAAACCATTGCAGCCATGTGTATGTGCAGCTTCACTGGCTTTTGCATTGCTTTATTTGAACAGATTTTTGGGAGTGTAGATGAGTTATGTTATACTAAGGGCATGGTATCCCTGCGGAGGTAGCCCTGGTCTGGAGAGTCGGGTCTGCCCCTGGAGGGTGTGAACAGATGGGATCCCGTGCCCTTTCTTATGCTCATCTGATAGTCTGCTGCTGCCACCTATAGGCTTTGGTTTTGCCTCAAAAAAGGCAAACAATTTTTTACATAAGACTTTAAAAAATTTTAATAAACATGTTTTTGTACTTATTTTTAAAAGTCAATGAATACATGGCGATATTTTCATTCCCTTGCAGTGTTGGAAACCCGATTAGTTTAGTGCCGAGACATGGCAATCAAATTGAAACTGAACAAGTGTATTTCTTACGAAGACCAAAAGCAGGACATAAATGAATGGTCCTACTTGGGAAAAATAAACTTAATTAATCTTACAGTGTAATCAAGTAAAGAATTTTCTAAACATACTTCCTAAAAATGTAGGGGTGAGATTTTCAGAAGTATTTTTAGTACCTTAAAATTTGTACTGAGTGTTTGAAAGAAACATGAGTAATTCAAGATCCTAGAACAGGGCACAGCATCGGTGAACTCGAACTGGTGAGGATGAGTACAAATGAGAGAAACAGCAGCTTCAATAGGGTTATGGTTCATTTCAGGGGTGCAGGCGGGTATGACGTCTTTGAAATAAGTGACTGAAAACAGCTACGTGAAAGGAGAAATTCAGATACTGTAAAATTTGAGCCAAACCATTTCGCGTGCTGCCAAGAATCCACAGCCAGGTGGGCAGCCTGCGGAGCTCACGCTGACTTTCCCCTTCAGACTTGTACGGGGCAAAAAAGCCGAACGTGGAGAGAGATTACTCTGAATTTGCTCTTTTGGCTTCAGGTATCTTATCTGAGGAACCAAAGAGTGCGGTCAGCACAGAGAGAGATACAGGGTGTGATTCATCACAGGAGCCTAGCTTGGACACTCTGAATTGTTCTCTGGAGGGCTCTGTCGCTCTGCTGACGGCGAGGTGCCTGGCCTCCTGTCTCAGGGCACTGGCCTACGAACCAAGGTAGTTAAATAAGTGTCGGAGAAGTGGCCATCGTCTCCGTGCTGCCTGCTCCTCTCGGTCTCAGGGAGGCCAGGGGCAGCCGGGTGTCCCTGCAGCTGCTGCGGCTCTCAGCCCAGTGCAAAAGCGCGAGCTTGGATCGTTCTCTCTCACAGGGTACGTGCGCATGGTGGTGGCTGACACGTGGGTATGGTGTTGCTTGCCGCCAGAGCTGTAATTTCGTGCAGGAACAGGGCAAAAAGCTGAGCAGGTGGTTGCATCTGACATCGTTGCTGGGTCCATTAGAGGTGGTGAATTGGAGCCCTCGGATGCCTGAGTCAGGCTGTGATACCCTGGGTGAGGGCTGGGGTGCCCAGCGTTACGCGAGGCAGCATCACGAGGCGGGCTGGGGTTTCAGCCCTGTGCATCCCCTGCTCAAATACACACCCTGTCACTCAGGGTTATTGATATCTCCAGCTCCTGAAGCAGCCCTGTCCGAGCACTGTAACCCGTGCAAGGAGCGGGGGTCTTGGCAGACAGCAAAGCCGAATCCTGCAGGCTGTCTGACACCAAAGGCCAGCAGCATCCTGGGCTGCATTAACAGGAGCACCCCCCGGTGCTCGCCACTCCTTGGACCCCAGTTAGAGTATTGCATCCAGTTTGGGGCTCCCTGGTGCAACAAAAATGTAATAAATCGGAGTGAGGTCAGGGGGGTGACATGACATCAAGAAGCTCAGGGGGCTGGAGCACTTGCCCTGCAAGGAGAGGCTGAGGGACTGGGCTCGTTCATCCTGGAGAGGGGGTGGCTTTGGAGGGACCTAACAGCTGCCTGCCTGTACCTACGAGGAGGTCAGCAAGAAGCCAGGCACACCACGGTGGTGCGCGGCAGACGTAGGGGAAACAAGTCCAGGCTGGCTATGAGGAGACCCTTTTACCCATGAGGGTGGTCTGGTGGGGGGGCAGGTTGCCCAGAGAGGTACAGTCTCCACACTTGCAAGTTTCAAGACCCAGCTGGGTCAAGCCTGGAGCAACCTGGTGTGACCTCGAAGCTGACCCTGGTGTGAGCCCCAGATTGGACTAGAGACCTCCTGGGGTCCCTTCCCCTGAAGAACTCTGCAGTCCTGCATTTTCATAGGACAGGGAGGTGGGACTACCCATGGAGGAGATGGGGGTGGTGGTGCTGTCACTGCAGGTGCTGTGCCTGCAAAGCCCCCTGCAGAGGGACGGGCATGGTGCCGGCACCAGCCAAGTGCTGTGGCATGTTGGTGGATGGAAAACCACTTCCCTCCTACTTTCCCCACGCTACGTGGAGCGCCCCTGGGTCACGCACCCGCTCTGGGTGCTCCTTCCTGCCATGGATTTCGCCTGGTCTCAGGCACCATCCCATTGCTCACCCTCAGTGCTCTTTGGGCAGAGCTCCGTTAGCGCGCAAGTCTCCTGTAGCTCCTACGCCTGCCCTGCCAGCCCCTGCGGACATCTTGGGTGGCTCCGGGCACCTGTGTTTTGGGACCGTGCCCTGGCTCTCAGGTGTAAGCCCCTGCCTCGGCGGGGTCAGCCGCAGGGCTGTCCTCCCTCTCTGCCCGCTGCGGGAGGAGTGGGACCGGGTCTGCCGCCCCGGGCACCCTGCCCATCCCCTCCCTCCTTTTCTTCCTTGGGGGTGTTGTCACCGAGGCACCTTGGGTGCCTTCCCTTCAGAAACCAGGGAGGGGGGAAGGAGTGGGCTAATATCTTCTACGTTTATAACTGAGTGCAGGAA